AAAGGCTGTACAATTAGCTTGGTGTCAAGTCGTGAAGAAAGTCGTACCAAATGCCAGGCTAAGGAGTTTTGGTACTTTATTTTGCAAGGAAATGAACCTAGCAATATAATTGTGTAGTAGCTTGTCAAAGACTAAATGTTTTAACTGGTTATTTAGTTCAAAATGCGTGTTATGGGGCAATGAGATACAAAATCAGTCTTTATAACTTCCACGAGACGACTTTGACAGATGGGTCTGGGTAAGAGAAGGTAGGGGAAGATGCTGATGGGATTACATGATTCAGTTGTGAGTGATTGTTAACAGCTAATTTTGATTGTAAAGACTTGGAGCTCTTGGCAATTGGCCAATTTTATCATCCTGCTGGGTATTAAAGGAGCCATCTCAGAAGCAGAAGGGTGACTTCACTACACATGGAGCAACAAGAACTACGAGTGGAACATGACTCTGAGATCCTTGTGCACTGAACTACCTCAATCCAGTGACAGAAATTTGTAATGTCAGAGGAGCTGCAGAGGAGTGGCAGCAGCGGAACCCAGAGCCAGAGCGTGAGACAGAGTGGTGGACTTCCTAGATCATGGCAAGTAAAACGGAGTGCCTTCAGGCAGAAGGCTTGTTAGTAGAGTGACGTGCCTCCAGGCATGTAATTGGGGGGAGTCCTGGTGTGGTGCTGTAGGATAAGCACTAGACTGCTAACTTCAAGGTTGGTGGTTCAAACATACCAGCTGCTCTTTGGACTCAACAGCACTTAACAGGTTTGCTAGAGCTGAGTGCCTTCAGGCTGAGGCTTATGGTGGAGTGAAGTGCCTTTGGGGTATTTATCAACAGCACTAAAGGAGCTTTGTAACACTGCCTGAGCAGGACAGAGGCCGGAGAGGCCAGTCTGCCAACATGGCTGGGAAGAGTGTGTCCTGACTGATGAACTGTATCCTGAGCATTTCTGATCCCAAATTGTAACCTGTGAACTTCCTAATAAACCTGATAATTCTGAGTATGGTCTGTGAGTTGTGTGGCCATATAAATGAATTATCAAACCCAGCAAAGCATTTGAGTACTGTGGGAGGGACTGACGTCAGAATTGTTACAAAAGGTTGGAGGTGGAGGCATGTCTGACCTTGGCCTAACAAGAACTGGCCTTGGGCTGATGTTGAGTTGGATTCTCCTTTACCATTATGAAGTCAGAGGAGGTTAGATGCTGCCTCCACACCATTCTTTACAGTGCAGTTCACCACATTCTAATAGGGAAAATGTTTACATTATAGTTCATTTAAAAGAACATATGTACACATACTTTAGATAGCTTTCACTGACCAGAGTTGAAAGAAAACACTTTGTAGTGATGTAGATTCCCAAAAGTTTACTTAAGGGCTTACTTTTATTTATACAGTGTTTTGTAAAATTTCTGAAGCATCTCCCCCTCCTCCAGTACAACTCTAATTTCAAAACCAGTATTTCTTAAATATTGAAGAAACTGTGAAAAAAAAGTTTCCAAATCAGTGATGCTTACTTTATGTTCATCTGACCAAACTAGTAGCAACATGATGTCAAGTACAAATGGAAAACATTAAAAAAAAAAAAAAAAAATCCGTAATTACAATGGATCAAATAGGAATCAAAATCTGTGGTCAAAGTCAAATAAGGTACAGTGGACATCTGTTACTTTCGTCTTGTTAGTAACCACCTTTTCCTTCCCTGCTCGCTCCATCTTTTCTCTGATCAACTTCTTCCTTTGGTGAGACTCTTCTTCTGATCAGCTCAGGAATGGAATATTATCCAATTTGAGCAAAATCAAAGCCCTTCCCTGAAAACTTATATAGTTTGTTGCTGTGCTTTGGGGGGGGTCTGTGGGTAGTTCAATGGTTTGAGCTTGACAACGAACCTAAAGGCTGGTGGTTTGAACTCACCCAGAATAACTGTAAGAAAAGCCTGGTGACCTCCTTCTGGAAAGATTACAGCTGAAAAAAATCCTATGGAATAGTTTTCCTGTGTAATACATAGGGTCACCACGAGTCTGAACTAATAGATGTCAGTAGGTTTGACTTTCTTTTGTTGTTGTGGAGGATTGGTTGTGGTGATGTAAGCTGAAACTGTCAATCACTGCCACTACCATCTTCATCTCAATAATCTCCATTCCAAAAGGAACACCTTTCTCCAAAGAGAAAGTCTACAGGAAGAGAAAACCACTTTCAAAAAAGATTATCAGAATCAAGTATGGGAAATGGGAAGATCTGGGCACTTGGACCCAGACATGCAGGAACTACCAGTACAAGGTTAGTGTCATTGAGTCAGTTCCAATTCATAGCGAGACTGTAAAGGGTTTCTAAGGAGCAGCTGGTGAGTTTGAACAGTCAGACTTGAGGTCAGCATCCAGTGCGTATCCTACAGTGCCACACACACTAGGATCCATGACGTGAGCCACTATAGTGTCCTTCATGGTGCCACTGGTTGTAGTTGGGTTTCTGTTTTTGATGAATAGTTAAAGGTGTACAACATATAACTTAAATGCAAAAATTTTTAAAATAACACTTATTTAATTTAAGTCTATAATCAAATAAAAGATTAGGCATCTTTATAGATCTGCTGGCACAGGGGGTTAAGCATTGGGACTCAGAAACCCTATATAGGGCCCTTCACCACCATCTTCTTTGGAATCATGATTTTAAAAAATAAAAGTGGCTAGAGGAGCTTTTCTCCTTTAAATCTCTGACTCATGAACAAAACTGCAGGATGTTGAACTTCACATGGGTCAAGGAGAATCTGTTTACACATGACAATTTGTCAAAAATCCAAAAATGAAGATGGTCTCTAGTAAGAATCAGGTCTTTAATTTGACAAAATCCTAAGGGCTCTAAGCGAATTATTCCAATTAAACCCCCACCTAGTCTGTGACATGGTTATTCACTAAAACACATGTTTATTATAAATCCTATGGGAATTAGTGTGCATATTCATCAAATGAGCTGATAGTTTAAGGAAACTGCGATTTAAATTCTTTCCGAAGTAATAGTCATCTATAACTGAAAACTCTGATACAATTCTGGAAAACAGAGACAGCAAGATATATTATTATCATGTATTGTTTTTCCCTACCTTATTGGGCAGGGGAAAGAACAAGATAAATCCTTTGGTTTTTGTCCAGTTTTCAATTTAAATTCTAAAAGGAATGGAACTCGTTTTCTTGGAAACAAGACTACATCATAACAGATTTTACTGTCAGGAAATTCCTCTCCACCCTGATATTTAGATCACATGCTCTTTTTGTGTACTTTATCCCACTTTTCCCAATAACAACTCTATGACACATTTAATTCAACTTCATTCTATTTCTTGACTGTTTCATCCAGGCAAATTTTACTTTTAGATTAAGTTGGAATCCCTTGAGATCCCATTAATTTCTCTATCCAGTAATACTGTGAATAGCATCATTCTACACAAATTCTTTTCCATAACAGGAAGAGGATTCCTGAAGTTGCTTTAGACTATGTATGTACACACATACACACACAGAGCCCTGGTGGTGCTGTAGGATAAGCAGTGGACTACAGGGTCATGCTGAGTCAGAACTGACTCGACGGTACTTAACAACAACAATAACTAACCACAAGGCTGGCGATTCAAATCCACCAGTGGGCTCCATGGGAAAATTATGAGGTTGTTTGCTCCCCTAAAGATTCAGTTTTGGAAATCCTATATAGGGTCACAATGAGTTGCAATTGAATTGATGACAGTGGATTTTGTTTTGGTTAACACACACACACACACACACACGAACTTCATAAAGTTCATGGGAAAATGGAATTAAAAGATAATGGAATTTTTCAACTAACTTTTTGACACTCCCTCACACACACATCATGAAATCAGGCCTTATTTTTTAAGAATCACATTTCCACTATTACTTTTATATTAAGAATTATTTTCATTGCTGTCTTTTGGATTTTCCTATTCAGCGTTTACCCCTAGTAATGTATATTTCTGTTCTATTAAGCATCTTATAGACTTTATCTATTCATATTTCTAATCTTGCAGGTTTCTTTAATTAATGCCTCTGGTTTTTTTGGTTTAAAACTTATTCCAATTGTCAACTAAGAATAGATTTCTTTAATGTCCAATTTTGTCATTGTTTCTTAACCATTAAATACACAGATGCAATACAGATGTAATAATCTTTTACTCTTTTATAGTCACATTGTGATTTCATAACTCTGTAAATTCCAATAAAATTAGGAAACTTTAATTTCAATATGTGAGATCACAATGCAAACAGAGCAGCCATAAGGCATAAATTAAACCATGTATATACATAAATACACAAATATACATTAGAGTAACAAATTGAAGAATTCCAAATGTTTTTTCCTTTAGTTTTGTTAGATAGTTAAAAAAAACTGGGCATCACAACCCCCTGTGTGGTGGTAATCAGAGTGGAGTGGAAATGGAATGAAAGGCACAGAACTCACTTTGTGAACAAAATACAAGCCCAAATTCCTTAGCACTGAGGTTCAAGCAGCAATTTGAAGCCCATGATTTTCTTAAGTGACTATCAGCCATTACTGTTACCAGTATTTATGAAGTATTGACAAACACGTTGTAACTGGGTGTTACCAGTACTCATCAGCTGTTTCAGGAGGGAATGGTTATACAGAAATCTCAAATGCAAGAATGGACAACTGCTAAGGATCAGTCGTCCTCTTCACATGGCTGTCCTGTTTAGTGTGGCTCCACTAAAAAGAATGCCAACTTTGTAGCCAACACAGATGATCTTATCTGGCAGGAAATTAATAAAAACCTGCAGCCCACCGAATGAGCCCTCTACTGATCAGGTGTAAGAAAGGGTTCTTATATGAAGAAGGGTCTTGCAAGTTAATTGAAGAGGCTAGAAAATGCTTTTTTTTTTTAACATTTTTCTTTTAGGTTTACTACTTTCAGACAAACAAAAAATTCCAAGCAACCCACTGATACTTCCCCAATCTTCCAACAGCCAGCCAGTGCCTATTCCTCTTCAATTTTCTGGGAATTTTCACCTCCTTCCAGAAGAAATACTCAGTTTTCACTGCCAAAGTTTTTGGTAGATTCACTTTTCACTGAAAAAGAAGTAAACATACAGTCAAGTGTTTATACTGTTTCTGTTTAGCCTGTTCTGTTTTTGCCCTGCTCCCCTCCCTTCTGATACATAGCAGCAGCACTGTTCATGGGGGTTGACAAGCCATGTCATGTCCCCAGGCAGCCAGGATATACAGTTCTGGCCACAATAAATAGAGAAACCATGTCTGAAAGTGGCAATTATGCTTTGTGAGGTAACATCCTTTCTGACTCTGGAAGACTCAGGAGCGGTCACTTCATGGTGTGGTTATGATCCCATACTCGCAGCACTGAATAGATCACCCTGATCAGACAGGCTTGGCCGATTGTGGTCGGAATACATTTTTCCATGATTTCATTTTTTCATACTTGCAATTGAGGGTCAGTGCATGTATGTTGAGTAAGTGTGGGCTGACAGAAGACTAATTGCCATCTCTTTTCTTCATCAGAAAGAAGAATCAGAGCAGAACTGGAGTCAAAGTTCTTGCCTTGCTTCCAATGAGCAAGTCAGCAGATTCACTCACTATACTGAGTTCCTTGAGGGTAGAGACTATATTCTTCCTCTTTAAGTCTCTTCCCAGAGGATAGCACAGTATAAGCACCCAATAGGTGCCTGTTCAATCAATATGATTGCAAATCGCTGTTTCTGTTTTAGTTTTATTCCCCGTATCTGAAAACTGGGAACCTGAGAGACTCCTCTAGTAAACTATTATGTAGCTAGTCTCTTGGTGGTGCAAATAGTTAACACACTTGGCTGCTAACCAAAAGGTTTGACTCCACTCAGAGGCACCTCAGAATACAGACCTGGCCATCTACTATTGCAAAACCAGTCACTGCCTAGTCACTGGGGCTATAGCTGAGAGTGAAGTGTCCAGCTGAAAAGAAGTGAAGGGAGATATGCAAGCATGCCCAAACTTGCAGATAGTACCCCTTTGACCTTGGATGGCTTGATGATCAGAACTCGACTAGAGGAAGATCAGGAAACAAGTATAAATTGATGAACTTGACCTTTGCTTAAGGATGTAGTTGCTCAAAATACCAACTGAGAGAGAAGGAGTCTTGACATCAAGGATCAAGCTGCCTATTCCCTCAGTACATAGGGTTGATAGGGATGGGCAACAGGGCAACTTAGACATTGGCTGCCTAAAATGGGGAAGGCTATAAAGACATGAAGTGGCTTGTAAGTTTTCAAGAGAGAGTTTAGTTTCAGAGTGAGGTTGGAAAGGTAGAGTCCCCACTGAATGGTTTTCATTCAGCTGCACCTTGGAAAATCTATACCGGGTTGTTAATGAGGAGGAACTGACTCAGTGGTACTCAACAGCAACAACAAACCTTGACGCTTACTCTTTACGGGGCAACGTTCTTCATTCCTTAAGAAATAAAAATCAAACAAAACTTGCTTACTGTCCATCAACACAGGCTTATTTTGTTTTGTTTTGTTTTTACTTTCAATCAAGCTTTTAATGAAAAGATCATAAAATAACAATTTCTTGTCACTGTACATTAAGATTGCATGCTTCTGAAGGAGAGGTCAGTCGTCAGAGAAGTGCTTTTCTATGACATGTGGCAAACCATGATGCAGCTGTGACCTGAATTTATCCCAATGCTTCCAGGGATGTGAACTCAGCACTGATGATAGTGGTGGAGACTGGTATGGAAGTATGAGTCGGGGCACCCCAGACCACTTTCTGTGAAGGACCCGGAGGATGTGCCCCCTCTTCCAGCTCCAAAAAAAAAACTGAACAGTTGGAACCCCACCCCCTCGAGGTATTTATGGATGTCTGTGCCCAACCTGGGGTCCCCTGAGCAGTGGGGTGGGGGAGAGCAGTGATGGGTGGGATACAGAGAGGCTTCCCTCAGTACCTGGCCCCATGAGGACTCCACGAAGTGGCGGGGGAAAAGGGAGGACTGGGAGTCTCCCAACACAGGCTGATTTTTTAACAAAGTAAACTATGGCAATCAAACCATGGAACCATGGTGATGCAATGGGTTGGTAACTGTAAGATTGCCAGTTCAAATGCAGCAGCTGCACAGGGGAAGGAGGATGAGGCTCTCTGTTCCCATACAGATTCACAGCCTTGGAAACTCGAACAAGCAGTTCTACTCTGTCCTATAGGACACTATGAGTCGGAACCAACTCAATGGCAGAGGTTACAGCCAAAACAAACACTAACCACCAACAAATATACAAACTACAGAGTCTCAGCCGAGAACCTGATTTTTTCCCCCAAAAGGCAAGAGAGACACTTTACTATGAATGTGGGATCAAAACCTAACATTTTTTGCCTCGGGAGAGGGAAGAAATTTCAAGGCTTTCCAGAGAAATTGCCCTGTTTTTATTTACCTGCTTCCTGAATCAAGGGACCACAGCACAGAACATTCAATGTTGTGAAGTGTCTACATAATGATAAGCATGTACAAGGAAGACCTGGCATTAAATTTAGGACATGTTATCCTCATGATGTGGCAACACTAGCATAGCCCTAAAATCTTTCCAGACACTTGTTAGTTCTTTGCTACAACAGCTCTATGATCCTGTGTACTGAAAGCACCAGTCACCTGTGCTTCCTTACGTAAGTCATCTACCCACGCAGCATAGATCCACTAGAAAATGTCATGTTTTACTTAATAAGGTTCCAAGTACACTACCAAAGTAGACTTTTCTTTTTGCTTCATTTCAGGAAGCCGTACTTCAACGTGCAGTCCTAAACAAGGTAAAAGAGGAGCTGTGTGTGCTGTGTTTATTTAAACAGACAATGTTTGCCCTGGCTAGTAACTCATATTACTAAACAAATTTCCCTGAAACCAACAGTTAGAAAGAGAGCTATGTGAGTTCTATTAAGGAAGAAGTAAGGCTTTAAACAGCTTTTAAAACAGTGAAAACTGCTCATTAAAAGTGAAATTTCTAATTTACTTTGAGAAAATAAAAATGAGTACTTTCAAGTTGTAAAAACTATACACTCAAGAATATATGTAAGTTACTGCTATAGCCTGTAATCCTTGTGTAACTAAAAAACCTGAATGATGTATTTCAAATAATGTTCAGTATTTGAATTAAGCTGGATAACCCCTCTTCCTTTTTTACAGCAATTGCTGAATTGTATTCATTCTATAAGATACTGCACTCAGTAATATGATTAAAACCCAAACCAAACCCACTGCCGCAGAGTCAATCGGTTAGGCTTCCAAGGCTGTAAATCTTTATGAGAGCAGACAGCCTCATCCTTCCCCCTTGCAGCCAATGGTGATGGGTTTGAATTGCCAACCTTGTGGTTATCAGCCTAGTGTTTAACCCTATAGTGCCTCAAACTCAATGAATTATTGGTAAGTGCCATCAAGTCAGTTTTGACTTGTATAGGGTTTCTAAGAAGTGTCTGGTGGTTTTCAACTGCCACCCTTGTGGTTAGCAGTTCAATGCTGATTCTATAGTGCCACACCAGGGCTCCAAAACACAATTGTTGTTGTTGTTAAGTGCTATTGAGTCAGTACTGATTCACAGCAATCCCATAAAGGGTTTCCTAGGAGTGGCTGGTGAGTCTGATTTGCCGACCTTGGGGTCCAGTGCATTATCCTAGTCTTCTTTAATTAGTAGCTGCAAATATGTGTAACTCATTTTATACACAGATCATTTACACACTGCTTTTCCTCAACTCTACTACTCACCAAAAATGGCAAAATTTCCCTTTTTTACAGACCTTTTGGAGTCCTGGTGTGGTGCTGTGGATTAATGCGCCAGACTGTAAAGCCGTTTAACTGTAAAGTCGGCAGTTCAAGCTCACCAGCTGCTCCTCGGAAACTCTATACAGGGTCGCTATGTGTCAGAATTGACTCGACCGCACTTAACAACAAAGACTTTTTAAGATGCTAGTGAATATGACCAAAGAAATAAAAATAAGGAAAAGATAACACATGGAATTTGAAAAGCAGATAGAGGGTCAAGGCAATGCAGTCAAAATTTTAAGCATAATGTTCCTTGCAACAATATCACTTTATATAAGGTAGAAGAGTAGAAACATTTTGTAATGCACAGTTTTATGAACCTCTAAAGAAAGAGTTTCATTTAACTAGAAAGTAAATTTATCTTAGCACAGACAAAGACTATCACTTAAAGACTGTTGTTGTTGTTGTTTATGTGCCGTGGAGTCGGTTCTGACTCATAGCGACCCTGTACAGGGTTTCCGAGGCTGTAAATCTTTACGGGAGCAGAATGCTTCATCTTTCTCCCGTGGAACAGCTGGTAGTTTCAAACTGCTGACCTTGTAGTTCGCAGCCAGATTCATAACCACTACGCTATCAGAGCTCCTTAAAGAATAGTAGGTTAAAAAAAAACAAACCCTCAGAAATCTAGTTAAGACAAAGGAATGTCCTTTTATACTGAGATGATCTGATTCATTCATTTAAAATGGTATTTGTTGTTTAAGACTTGTTGTTAAGTGCCCTCAAATTGGTTCCAACCCAGTGACTCTGTATAGGGTTTCCAAGGAGCAGGTGGTGGGTTTGAAAAGTGCTGATTTGTAGCACTACACCCGGACTCCAGTGTAGGATTGGAAACCCTTTTATTGCCAGAATTTCTAACAGCATTTCACAGGCCACACAAAAATTACCAACTTAAAAATTAGTCTGCTCTATTTGGCCAAACATTTAATTAATTCACCCCTAATGTGATAGCTGGAGCTGCAGTTTCCTTGACAAGGCCAGACTAAATGGCCAGTAGTTCCTTATCCCTGCATTAGAGGTACATTATATTACAACAAACTTACACTTACCTGGGTGAAGAACTTTCATATTGTTATTGGATCCTTTCAATACCACATGCAATGTTGGGTATTCCATAATCACTTTGTTCTTCAAATTGTCTAGCAGACTTTTACAAGGATCCAGTTCATGATAACTTAGTAATAAAAGAGTCAAATAAAACAAAAACACCTTCAATATTAAAATACACACACACAAACCACATAAATTAAAAACAAAACAAACAAAAACAAATATATCAGATAGTCCCCTTACATGGGAAAAACAAAACAAAAATATCTCCTTATTATAAATTAAATACAATCTAAGAAATCCAGGTAGAAGAACAATGAAGGTTCTAAAAATAAATCAAAAGTATTATTACATAGTATTATCAAAAAGTTGTAGAACCTAGAGCCATAAAAGATACATCTTCAAAGAAAGATCAGCAGGAAAAATCCAAACCAAAAATGGCAGTCTGATTGGCTACTAGAAGAACAAGCAAGTTGTTTACAGTAAAGCCATCAAGGCTAGCAATCAAGTCCCTTCTGGACACACTCTTCCAAGACTGAAACTCAAACGGAACACATGATCAGGCATGTAAGCTTGCTGGAGACCATGTTGGGCTATTGGTGAGTGGAAGAGGGGGAAAGATAGCAATGAAGATACAGGTTGAATTCAACCACCTGGAGATGAGAGAGAGAAGAGGAAGGGCTGGTTGGTATGAACTGTAGTGAGACCTGAGGACTCCTAAGTCCCTGGACAAGGACACAGTTATAGAGGGCTAGAACTGGGATTGAAGCCTCCAGCTGATACGAAGTGAGGGGAGATGCACAAGAACTCCCAAACTTGCAGATAGTACTCGTTTGATCTAGCCTCGATGGCTTGATAATCAGAACTTGACTAGAGGAAGATTTGAAAAAAAGAAACAATTTTTGTAAAGGAAATGAGTGTAAATCGCTACACTTTGATGAACTTGACCTATACTTATGGATGTAGTAGTTCAAAATACCAACTGAGAGTGAAGGAGTCTTCACATCAAGTATCAATCCTAACCCCTCTGTATACAGGGTAGATAGGGACAGGTAACTTAGGCACCAGCTACCTAAAATGAAGGGGCAATAAAAGCACGAAGCGACTGGCTTACAAGTTTGCAAGAGGGAGTTTAGTTTAAGAATGTTTGGGAGAAGGTAGAGTCCCCACTGAATAGTTTTCATCTTGTCTAGGTGGGTCTGGTGAAAAGAGCTGAGGATGAAATTCTTATGATTCAATAGTGAGAAATTGTTATCATGACTAACTGCGACTGTCACAACTTTAAAGGTAGAAGTTCTATAACAAAAATGGAGTGAGTAGTTAATCTTACAGTACAGAAACAAAGGACCCTTGGACCATCAAGAGAGAAGAACACAAGTGGAGTTCCCAGACCTCATCCAGAGAAGCAGCAACACCAGAGATGGAGGAAGAAATGAAGACATGGAGGGAGCAGCTGAGTACTCTGGACTCATGGAAAGAGAGGCACTGGGTGCTGATGGCCAGGAGGCAGGCTTGCAGAATGTGCCCTTTGGTTGTTTAAATTATTATATATTCCGGAGTGCTTCTGTGTACAGCACCCCCCAACAAAAACAAACAAAAAAGAAATATGTAAATTTATGTTGACACATACATTAAACTATATCTTATATTTAAAAAACAGTTGTAGAACAAGCTATTTTTCATACCAAGGAAGAAATGCAGACATAGATAAAAGTTATGCTAAATGTGTCACTGAGTTTAAAAGTAACTTAAAAAATAAAAATGTATCTTTGTTATTATAAGTACTTTCTGATAATATATAACAGATTTTAAATTGTTGGTTATAAAATACTTTATGTGCCGACTCATAGCCACCCTGCATAGTATTTTCCAGGCTGTAATTCTTTACAGGAGCAGAAAGCCTCATCTTTTTCCTATGGAACAGCTAGTAGTTTCAAACTGCTGACTTTGAGGTTAGCAGCCTGACTAGTAACCACTATGTTAGCTGTCTTTTATTTTGAAATTATATACTTGGGGCTTTTAAATGGAGTGGAAGTACAAAATTGAATAAGGAGCTTATCAGTCTTGGTATCATGACAAATGAGGAGGTCTTCTAAAAATTCATTGAAAAATTCCAGTATCTTTTCATTCAATTTTTAGATAAAAGTTTTGAAACCCCCATACAGAGAGGGGCTGCAGCAAGGGACTTGACCACACCAATCAATGACCAGTAAGAGGGTACAGGATTGAGCAATATCAGTTCTGTTGGACCTGGGGCAGCCATGCGTCAGAGCTGCCTCAATGGCAACTAACAAGATTTATTGAAGTATGAAACTCTGTAAGTCATTAGTTTAAAAAAACTTGGGATGGGACTTCTGCTAGTTCACTAGGGGGAGAAAGTGGAAATATGCTGGCATCTGAAAGGTATCTGTCAAAGATGAAAGAGTCGAGAATATGCCCACTACTGTAGTGCAGAAGTTCTCCAACTTTTTCTCCACTGTCACCAATGCCAGATGATGTCTACCTGCAACCCAACCCCCCCCTATGGAATGCCAACAGTAACTCCATCCTTTTCTCTCCCGCTTGAGAGTCCATAATTAAATATAGGAGCTGGAGAATGAAGCTATCATCAGGATATATTCCAATCTGCTGTAATTTAGTTTCAAAAGTAAACCATTCACAAACATTAGCATTTCTTAATCAACAAATTACTTGCAACATAACTCACAGCTAAGATAGACATGTAGCACACGTGATGTAGTGTTCTCTTTATGTTCTAAGTCTACATTATTCGACAGCTTTTCAAATAGAGGGATACTGAGGTGCTCAAAAGGATGCAAAGTCAAGTCTACTATAAAAACTTAATATTTAAGAAGTACGAGGACAACTGTAAAACCAAAACTGTACTTGTGTTTGCCTGACCACACATCCCACCCCTAGAATTAAATCCTTCATTTATAATCAGAGGATGTTTTTTATGTTGAAAAGAAACTGGAAATGCAAACTATTAAGTTATCCTAAACCAGCCACACTAGTGCCCATAGGACACAGGCACCCACATTCTTTTGCAGTGTAATGTAACACAGATGTGCCTATAACACTTTAAAAGTGGTTCCAGCATCCAAGGATTAAATCTTTTAAACATGATTTTCCTTTGAAATAAGGAGAATTTAAAAAAAAAAAAAAATTAACTATACAAAAGAGAAAAGGGAGACAGGTTAGATACCGAAGCATAAAATTAACTTACAAAGTAAAATATAAAATGGGTATAACTAAATTTTTCTTAGTAAAAAAATGAGACTTCAGTTCTCAAATAAGAACACATAGTATACTATAAACACCAGTAATAGCTTATCTTCTGTGTATCCTAACTGAATCTGTTAAGAAACATTTTCTAATGTTTTCAACTTATAGTCATGTGTAGCTTAATTCTCATGGTGGTGGTGTATCGTGGAGTTGGTTCCGATTCATAGCGACCCTGTACAGGGTATCCAAGGCTGTAAATATTTACAGGAGCAGAAAGCCTTATCTTTCTCTTGAGGAATGGCTGGTAGTTTTGAACTGCTGACCTTGAGGTTAGCAGCCTGACTCGTAACCACTACACTACCAGAGCTTCTTTTTAATGCCCATAAGTTCTGTGAAATAGGACATTATATGATTTGGATATTGTGTGACTACCATATTATATATTGGCATCCCCAGATTACGAACAAGTTCCAACCCTAGATCTGTCTTCAAGTTGAATTTGTACTTAGTTGAAGCAGTTCAAATGTTTGTCTAAGTATACACTATATAGTGTACCCTTCTATGCATAAAAATTAAATAACAGACACACTAAGATTTTTTTGACATAGTATTACAGTAATAATAATGTTTTAATATGTGTTATAAAGCAGTGCTCATTTGTTACCTCAAAAATTTTAATACAGGTTTTACACAAGAGTTGGGACCATGGATGTTTATGTGATTGGATGTTGTCCAAATAGATGTTTATATAGTGCATGTCTGTATTCAGTTTCTTGTAAATAATGTTTAGTGTATACCTAATGTTTTAGGTCTTTAATTTATTTATATAATAGTCCATATCTTTATGACTCCGTACGATAAGTAATGTACTACAAACTATAAGCTTGATAGTTTGAGCCCACAGCTAGCTGCTCAGTGGGAGAAAGATGAGGCTTTCTGCTCATGCAAAGATGTAAAACCTCAGAAACCCTACACAGCATCCCTAGGAGTCTGGAGCAACTTGATGGTACTTAACAACAACAAAACCAGGTCTCTCTAGATTTCAAAGTTGAACCCATTAAAAAAGAGAGAGAAAGCTCTTCAAAAGCCATATGGAGAGAAGGAGGGGCTTGATGGAAGCTAGGGTGGAAGTGCAGTGAAGTTCGCTGTCAGCCATACCACAGAATACCAGGCAAAGCAGATCCAGGGCAGAGCGCCAAAACTTGGAACCACATAGCTAAGAATATTTTTAAAGTTTGAAGGCTTATAGCTAGTGGAACTTGAAGCTGAAGTAAGAAATTGCGTACTTTTGAATCTTCTAGGCTCAGAGGCCCAGAGCTGACATCTTGGGAGAGAACAAATGGCGACACCAAGCAGGGGAGCAGAAAATGCCATGGGAACCTTGGGGCAAAGGTGGACAATACACTTTGTTGGTTTTGCTTTGTTCTGATTTTCATTTCGTTTTTTTTTGGGTAGCTGGTCATTGGCGCCCCCACTGTTGCACACCTCCATTCTAGTGACCAGAGGGGGTGGCTGAGCAAATGGACAACACCGATGCTCACCACTGGTAGGTTCTTCTGCCATGCATGCGCACAGATACTCAGCCCAAGAGCTGGCACTGAACTTTTTTTTTTTTTCTTTAAATACGGCAAAGGCCAAGACAGGGCTGTAGAGTGGGAAAGAGAGTTTAAAAACAAAACAGGCAGAAAATTAAATTAAAGCCTGAGGTATAGCATAACATCCAACAGTGGCATCTTCAAATCTCCCAGGCAGCTTTGAAAGCAAGAACCTGAAGAGAGGACATTAAAGTCATACTCATATTAGGCTAAAGAATTTTTTTTGTCTTCTCTCTCCCCTCAACCTTTTCTGTGATTACAGACTGCAGTATTCAGTCTAGTTTTGTTGTTGTTGTTTTTTTTG